GTGTCGGCAGGCCTGGGGTTGATGAGTTCCCTTCCCCTCTCGACCCGTGTGGCTGTTGGCTATTTTAAATGTTTGTATTGTACTTTGTGTTCCCTTTCCCCCTTGAGTTGTTAGCCGCCCTGAGTCCCCCTGGGAATAGGGCGGCATATAAATAAAACAAATCTCAATCTCAATATCTCAATCTCTTAAGTGCTATTGCTACTCTTGGTAATGGTCCTCCACCTCCCATATTACTAGGTGGGGATGTGCTGGTGGACATTCTATCAGAACAGCCTCCTTCCCACTGATTGAGGCACAGAATCCTGGGCCACAGGTGTAGCCCACACATCGAACTGGAGACTGTTGACTGCCAGTATTTCCACAAAGGGAAAAACTCTGCCTCCTGCACCCCTGCTCTCCACCTCCTGGCTTTCATCCCAAACGCTTGTCTCCTTTCAAGAACTGTGCTGACAAATGTAGGAGAGTTTGTCCCCAGCTTCTGGGACTTGAACCAGCGCCATACCTGATGGATGATATAGATGCCATAACTGAGCTGCTGTCGTTGCAGGAAAGGGTGCAAGTAATACAGCAGGTACTTGAGGTGCTGCTCCCGATTACGGTGGGGGATGATGACGGCCGTTTTGTGAGTGGCGTCACAGTCGGGAGGACGGTAACGCCCCCCTTTGGTCACATAGGGATTCCTCCGTAGGACATCTTCAAGCGTCAATCCCAAGGGAAGCGTCACTCGAATGGGCCCTCCTGCACGCGAGCAGAGATGTATTAGTCCGGTTTCTTTCCTACTGTCCCATAGATCAGTGAATTAGAGCAGTGTTTTCCAAACTTGGCAACTTTTAAGATGGGTGGACTTCAACTCCCAGAATTCCTAGCCAACACACCAAGGAAGAAAATGGGTCAGGCTGCAGCAGTTTGAGGTTTTCTATCCTGACAGAACAATTAATTTCCTGACAGTTAGAACAATTAATCAGTGGAACGGAAGTTGCATCCAGAAGTTGTGACTGCCCCAACACTGGAAGTCTTTAAGAAGATTGTTGGATAGCCATTTGTCTGCAACGGTATAGGGTTTCCTGCCTAAGCAGGGGGTTGGACTAGAAGACCTCCAAGGTCCCTTCCAACTCTGCTATTGTATTAGGTTTAGGTTAGGTTTATTAGATTTATATGCCGCCCTTCTCCCAAGGCCTCAGGGCGGCGTACAACATTAAAAGAAACACATAATACCAAAGTTAAAACAATTTTAAATAGAATATCCCAAACCCAATTAAAATTGAC